CATCAAATCACTTTTTTTTCTATGCGCCACAACAAACATGTTCATAAGATAAATCGTTTGCCTCATATAAAATCCACAAGCATACTTTCCAAACATTCTTTAATTTCCTTCTTTTCTTGGAAAAATGGCGAATGCGCCGTGTTATTTTTTTTTCAAGGTCGTGTCGTCTCCACAATGCGTTTGGTTGGAATATTTATTATCCATTATGTCAAATTTGCTATGCGAAAGAAGCAATAATGCTTGATTATCCTTTTTCTGTAAGTCAGCACACTATTGCACCATTTGCTTTTAGTATCGGAATGATTATACAAAACTGAGGTCTGCGTGATAATAAATCATTAGCAAATAGCCTCTACGTATAAGAGAAATATGTTTTTTTTATGTTTTACTCTTTTTTATGCGTTGTTTATTTGTTCGTTATGTAACGAAAACTAATTACTATCTTTCTTTCGTTTCAGTTCAACAATGAAATTGCGTATTGTTTTCAACAACAATTTATTATTCTTTCATGATCATGTGGGGCACATATATCACTTAAAAAAAACGCGCCGTTTAAGTCTAATGAGCGTAATCGAATAAATAAAGGCGGCTGATATGTTTCATTCGAGGCGACTAGATTCGAATTAATTAAGCTCAAGAGGATTATGGTAAATAATTTTCAATAAATCCGGCTTATTGATGAAGTGTGATAGCTTCAATAAGGTCAAAAATATTTTCCAAGCAAATAGGGCTCCTCTCTCGCTTCGTTTGCTTCTCATTGTGCTATCAACTATATAAACATTGAAAATTGAGTTTCATCGAATTTATCTTTTCCTTTGTGTTTTAATTCCACGGCGTTGCTAAAAGTGCAAAACTTTAAAATAACATTTTTATTTCTCCTAATTAGACAGAACGTTATACAGTATGGACGAGCCGGGAAATCACGAAATTACCATAATAGAACCCCCGTTGGGATTATTAACCATATCGATTTTGCTGCTGTTTTGTTTTTACTGATGACAATACATCTCTTTGTCGCTTGCTCAAATAAAACGCAATACACCAGCAGAAAATGATCTCTATAGAAAGCAATTAACCAATCAGAGCAGTTGAAAATAAATATTTTGACAAAAAAATATTACATTAATTTTACATAATCATTCTCAAAAATAAATGTCATTTCTATGCACGTTCGTGGCCCATTAGAAGTTACTGGAGAACGGAAAATATATCGATATCCCGCTACTGCACAGCGTTACCTGTGTAATCTTCCCTAGGAGGTCGTGGATGACAGTGTCGATGGTTAAGGCCATTCCCGGATTTTTGTCGCCGGGCCGACCATACGCCCGATGCACTGATTAGGCACTGTATACTTATTTATAGTTTAGAGCGGAGAAACTAGCACGTCTCGCCCGTAGGAACGATGATTTTGCACTGGTAAGAGACATTAACTTTGTCATTTCAAATAAAACACCCCATATAAGGGATAAGTTTAAACTTAAACCCTTTATGTTAATAAATTTTCGCAAGCTTTATAAATAATTTATCAAATATTAAACGATAAATCAATTATAATGTAGTTAACTCTCGATGCATACTTTACGTCTGGTTATTCGAGAAAGAATTGTTAAAGAAGAGCTCAGAATATAAACCATTAAATTTCTCCTGTCTAACTTTAGTCGCGTACTGTCACATAAATTCATTTTATTAGTTAATTTTGTATCAAGGAAAAAATTTATCACGTGAATTGCTACAATGTTGAGTTGAAAACAAAAAGTTGGCTTGTTAGGGCTGAAATTGTTTCTATCGGACGGCAATTAATGGAAATGATCCTCAATAGTAAGTTTGCAGCTTAGTTCTTGGCCGCAGTAAAGTTTATCTAAATAATCCCAAATTAGTATCGCTGGAGAAAGTTTGTAAATAGGATAGAGGCGGGATAATCATAACACAATTATTTTTTTAGTCTGGTCCCGTAACACAAATATTACTTTAATTTGCATTTTTGTTAAATGCTTAAATACTAGCTGTATTTCTATTTTATATATTGAAACACACCAAAAACGAAAGACACCTGAGCTTATATACTGTCCACCCAAGTCAACCGAGGCGAGATGTAAGAACATCACGTGATTGTCGCAATCGGTACATACTATGCATTTTACATAACATTATAGCAAATCAAATTACAAACAACGTTTGTTAATCTGAGATGCTTTTTAATATAAACTGTCAAACTGTTTAGTAAAATTACAATGCGTGTAGGATTTATACATATAGATTGTAAAATTACTTAACTTATCTTAGTAGATTTTCCAACATGTTTTGGAAGATTACTCAAATTGTATTATAGTTTTGTATTGGTATACACTGATTTGTAATTTTACAAAAAATTTTACATGATTAAAATAATATATACTAAAAATTCAAACAGAAGTTGTATACAATAAATAATGGTTTGTATATTTGCGAACACTTATTGTAATTCAAATAGCAAATTTTGGTTAGTAATTTTATTGATTATCTTAGTAAAATTAAATTCCGAATATGTATAGAAATTTTACAAAATTTCAAATTCAATTCTACAATACAGAATTGTAAAATTATGAGTATGAGTATCTGACAAAAACAAAAACATTGTAAAATTGGAACCTGTTTAGTACTTTGGCTATAACAAAATGTAATATTTTATAAATGCGTATTAAAATTGCAATACAATACAATATTTTGTAATTTTACTATGCAACTGCTTAGTAAAAATGTAGTAATTTTACAATCATTTTTAACAGGACTGAGAAATATGTATAACGATTTTATTAAACGATTGATTAATAACGAAATATTAATATTATAATTTTCAATTACATTTTTATGTTAATGAGCAATGTACTCACTTTACATACTCATTTTTTTATGAGAAATGAATGATGTGGGCAAGAAAGATATTTTTATTGCATGACATATTTTTTCAATTTTTGTTTTGAATTGTTTTTTTACCAGTAACAGACTTTCAATAGTTATTTATGTCATTAGGTTAAGAAGTAAGGCTTTTTGTGCTAAGCTCAAGTTTGAATTGAGCGAAGCACAAAAAGGCACTTCTTGGCCGAATGGCATACAACATTTTATCTTCAAAGCACTTTATATAGGTCAATTTAATTCAACATCAAAGCGGCCTAACCTCACTTTATTAAAATCTCATTTATTTATTAGCTAAAGATTACATTAAATGTACAAAAATTATTATTGCTTTTAGAAGCAGTAATAGTTTGACAATACCTAGCAACATGATTTAAGTAGAAATGGATTTTTGCTATTACATTGAATTCAATTAATTGTTTAATAAATAGGTAGGGATCTAATTTCAATTTGTTTGGAATTTTTATTTAAAAAATAGGTAGTTTGGAATGTTTAAGCTGTGTTTAACATTTAATTTCACTGAAAAGCAAATTAAAACTTAAAGATAATTTAAATAGTAGAAAAAGAATCGTGCGTTTACTAGGTTGCCTAACCTCACTTTTTGTTTTATTATTCATATTTAATTTTACAATAATTTAATGAAAAATATTAAACAGTAACATTAAAACACTCAAATTAGTAAATAAATAAATTAAACCAGTGAAGTACGTTAATTTCTTAGAAAAGGATTAATTTGTCAAAACTAATTTTTATCGGCCTAGGCCATAACAAGGTATTTCTTTATCGAATGTTGATAACAATAAAGTTTAAATTATAGACCGCGTGGAGATAAAATTAATTATTCGTTTATACCATCGTGGATTCAATACTTTTTTGATCTTTTGAACGAGTTATCAAAAAAATATCAAACTTTACCAGAATGGGATTTTTAATGGGTACTACTACTTTAAAATGGACATTTTTTAAACTGCCAGACTTAAAATGCCTATCATTTTTTATTGATGTTATGGTTAAGGCCTTTCGATACACATTTTTTTAATGTGTTATGTATTGTCTCTCATTCTTTATTTTTTAATGTTTAGTGAAAATGTATGTATTCAAATGTATTCAAACTACATTAGCATTAATAAAAAAAAATGCCGATTGCATTATTTTGTCATTAAAATGTTTGCAACTCTGGCTTGATAACATTCAGACGGGCCCTTGTAAGTGGGAGCTTGTGGCAAGCAAGGGTCGTTTGATGGAAGGGCCAAAGCTGGGAACACGGATAGCAGCGGATACGGAAGCATATTAGCGTATTGTGTATATGGTTCACCAATCCCGCAATGCAGCGAGCGAGCGGCTACACGGTATAGACGCTTGCGCTTATCACGAAGAGGGACGCATTTGTTGAAGAGGCCCCCGTTCCCTCGGGCACAGTTTCTTGGATTCCAGGCACACGGCCGCCCGACCGCCCGCACCTTCGCATGCAGTATTAATATGACCGGGCTCGTCTGGACACTGTCTTACTCTGCCATAATCCTCGTCCCCCAGGACCTATTCGCTTCGTCTTGTCACCCCGTATATTTCAAACACGGTCCCCAATTAAAGACGATTTTCTTGTATTCACTAATCGAAAATGTCCCTTCGGCGAACTTAACTAACCTGACCGCTAAACTCGAATAACTTTTCCCAATCCCACTAAAATCTTTACCTAATTTACTTCATCTATTTAATGGCTATTTTATAACCGATCAAGCTTTATAGTTCAGTCAACGTCAATTACGCGTTTTGTTTTTTATTCAATATTTATTCCAATCCGACCGAACTGCAGTCTTCGGTCTTAGTAAAATCTAATAAAAATTTCCATGAATACATTATTTTAATAAGCCCTCATTACATATGTTTGCCATCATAACGTATACCATTTAAATTTTAACTCGCATACTTTAAATATTCGCGGCGACGACATCTAGCGAACAATATACAAACTGCTTATTTACTCAGCATGGATTTCTTTATTGTATTACTTTGCTTCTACATGTAAGGAGAAGAGGCTTTCTTTTAAATTTCCATTTAGAAGATTTTTAGCATGAATAAAACATTGACACATTTTAATAATAATTTATTTGCATTTTTTTACAACGTTTTATTATAAATTATTTTTATTAAATAAAAATAAATAATTAGTATTTGAAACGGAAAAATTAAAATAACAAGGAAGTTAAGCGCTTCATAAAAAATAAATTAAAAGTCCTTTTTACAAATTTAACACTTTAAATGAGTAAGTCTCTTGAGCAAAAATTCACTAATGTCCGTTAGTAGTGACAGCGTCTGTCTTTTCTTCGGTCGGTTTATTTTCTCCCACGGTGGCCTCGCCGTCCGTATTCTTTTTGTACCTGTCGTTATTGTTGCTGTAATACAACGCAATGTCGCTCTTTAAGATGCCCAAATTGTCGGTTCTGACTTCCGCGTTCTGACTTTCGCTGACACCCGAGTCCCTGTCGCTGCTCTCTACGCTTACAGCGACTTTATCTGAAGGCGATGTCTCCGGCTCGACCTCCAAATTCGTGTTTGTGTGTCTCGCATCTAGCGACTGATTGAATTGCACGTAACTCTGAGGTTGGTTAACAATTATCTGCTGGCCACCGAATGCGTCGCTATTGGCACCTGGTTGCTCGATGGCGGCCAAAATTGATTGAAGCAGTCCGTCGTTAAGTACTTGACCGTGCGGTGCTTGCGGTTGCTCTCCATTTGAACCCTGAATTTGTAGCGTATAGCTTCCCAAGTTTCCTTTCACTGCGATATTGTTCAAGTCGAGACTTTGCGATCGTATTAATTCGCTGTTGGGTCCAAAGCTCTGAGCTACTGATTTTCCGTAGTTTTTACCGTGCACATCCTCCTTTTCTTCTTCGCTTTCCAGTAAAGAATTAGAACTAGTCCTTACTTCAGTTTTAATGCTGTGCGCTGCGTTTAAGTCTGGCACTCCGTATGTAGCATGTGGTGCTACAGCTGCGGCTGCGGCTGAAGCTTGGTTATAACTACCGCCAATATTAGCAGTCAATGAGGATAGTGAAGCCGTATAGCTATTTGCTGATGGCACGCCGTAAGATAGAGAAGGCAGAGGTTGCGAGCTATGTAAGCTGCAGTCGTGTGGAATTCCACTTTGGTGCAAATTTTGGAAGTAGCTTTGAGACTGATAGTTATTTCCTCCGCCAAGTAAATCTCCAGTTAAATCGATGTGTACTGGTGGATGCGAATGATCTAATCCAACTAACCCTCCTTGTTGGCTTGCTGTGTAAGAACCATCCACAATACCTAAAGGCACGTTGTAGCTTGTCAGTGCTTGGGTGTGGGCGTTATTAAGGTTTATTGAGCCAAAATCAGTCGTTGATCCCTGCGATACACTTTGGAATGATACTGCTGAGTTTTCTTGTGGGAGACTGTAAAGATTTGTTGGTTCTGGGGGCACTCCTACGCTTGAACCTGATGGTGGTAAATACGAGCTGCCAGAAAGGCCTAATCCGCTTCCAGAAAGGCTTAAACTACCCACAGAATGACTTAAGCTACCTCCAGAATGACTTAAGCTACTTCCATGACTTAAACCACTTCCAGAATGACTTAGGCTGCTTCCATGGCCGAAACCACCTCCAGAGTAGCTTAATCCACCTCCAAATCCTCCAAAACCATGCTTGCCAGGTTTGTTCTTTGGACCTGAGAATAATGGTGTGCCATGTTGGCCACTTGGGGCTCCGTATACACCACTTGGAGGAATCAAACCAATTCCAGATGATGATAAAGACAATCCTTTGTAGCCTCTGTGAGAGTTAAAGGCACCATGTGAGTGATGAGAGTTGTGAGAGCTGTGAGAGTTAAACGAGGATCCTCCCAAAGATAATCCTTGATTGCTGTATGAGTGAGCTGCAGCATAAGGCCCTGTTGGTGAATAGGAGTTTGGTGGGGGAGCTCCATAAGAGTCAGAAATTGAGGAGTGACCTCCGGACAATGAGCCGTGGCCTCCGGATATTGAACCGTGGCCTCCAGATATTGAGCCGTGGCCTCCAGATGTTGAGCCGTGACCTCCAGAAAATGAGTTGTGGCCTAAAGATAATGAGCCATGACCTCCAGAAAAGGACCCATGACCTGCAGATAATGATCCATGGCCCTCAGATGAGAATCCTTGCCCTCCAGATAAAGAAGAATGCCCGGAATGTCCGTCAGAAATCAGGGCATGGCTCGCTGTGCCCCCATTATGGAAAATTTCATAGCCAATGCTCTTAGTTGCTTGAACTTGCGTATTTTGACCAAGTCCAAGCCCAGATAATCCTAAGGCAAGGCTTCCTGATAAATCTTGATGACCTTGACCGTGCGATAAATCAAGATGACCGTGACCATGGCTTTGGCTATGACTTTGACTATGAATATCATCTCCTGATGCAGCGACAATACCTCCAGAACCAGTGACTGTATTCAATGGAGCTCCATATGAATCGCTTATTGTGTTTTGTTTAAGACTGTTTGAAAGAGCTAAAGAGGCCGCATGTCCAATGTCAGCTCCGCCATCGTGACCTCCAGCTGTCAAACCAAGATCGCCTCCGTGTCCTTCCAATCCTGCATGTCCTCCAAGTACTGGTGGTGGACTTAAATCGGTGTTGTAGCTAATATCTCCAGCTAAGTGATTACCCGAAGAAGGCACTCCGTAGGTATCTTGCGGTCTTCTAGAAACCAAACCTGGAATCGGCACCCATCCATCATACTTAACCTCTGGAGGTGTTGGGGGAGCTGGCGCGCCTGGATGTGGAGGTTGGGGGTTTGAAGAAGGTTCTGGTGGGCCGTAGTGAGCGTTAGTATGAATTGTTTGGCTTAAATCTGGGATGCCGTACTGACTAGAAACTCCATGACCTGTTGAAAGGCCAAGTGATGGAACACCGTACTGAGAGGAAATTTGACTGGATAAATGTGATCCATGGGATGAATGGGATCCATGAGATGAATGGGATCCAAGAAGTGAAGTACTTCCTGCTTCGGAAGCTCCAAAGCCGACGGATAATAGACTGGTGTCAAGTGGAGCACCATATTGAGAGGAGATATGGCTGTTAGAATGACCATGCGAATGACCCTGAGAAAGATAGTTGTTATTAAAGTTGAAGTTTAGTTTTGAGGAGCTATAATTGTCTTTGAAATGAGGTCTAGGGCCTTTGGAGAAGTGTTTTTTGGGGGCAAAAAGGGGTTTGCTAGGGGGGCCATAGTGCGGTCTTGGAGGTCCGTAGGAATGCTTGGGCTTATGACGTGGAATATGGTATTTTGTGGGAGCTCCATAGGTCGGAGCTGGAGGACCGTAAGTTTTCAAAGGGGCTCCATAAGCCGCTGATAGTGATCCAATGCTTGAGGTCGCTGGAGCGCCATAACCGGCAGACAATGAACCAATTCCTGTAGGTGCAGGTGGCCCATAACTGTTTTGAGGTAAGGTGAGTACTGGCTGAGGAAGTCCATAAGTTTGTAATGGCAAAGAAACTGGCGGAGGAATGTCAGCTGGCGGAGCTGGATAAACGATATTGTTCGAAGGAGCGTCGGGCACTCCGTAAACTGGCACCGGCAAGTTTACATTACCACCGCCAGACGGCAGGTAGTTGTCCGAAGCTGAGGGGACTCCATAAGCTTCGGCCAGCCCCAAGGAAGCCTCCCTTCTATTCGATGACTCATCCGAACTGGCTGCTACTGAATCGGCTACGGGTGAACTTGCTGAATCTTTCGTGGATTCAGAACTTTCCACGGCGGTTTTGGTTTCTTCTGATTTTGACGAGCCACCATTGACAACAGCATTTACTTGTTGCAATGCAATGATGCAAACAACTGCAACAATTATCTGAAAATTATAAAACTTAATTAGTACGTTTTAATAAAATATCAAAAAAATAAATTAACAGGTGTTAGCTTGAAAGTCGATAATTTTCTCTACTACTTTCTTAAAACCGAAAAAAGTCCAAAAAAATTATAATGAATGAGTGCGTTGTTAAAAATTTACGGCAATTTTATTAGTTAATTAATATGAAGAAAGAGTTCATTAGAACTTTCTGAAAGCAAATACTTCTTATTTTTCTTATTTGGATTGTGTGTCACATCGTCTGCCGCACAAAAAAATGATTTCACACATAATGTTCTCTCTACTATATTTGTGCCAATCTATTCGCAGAAATGCATGCCGTTTATTTTATTTTACTAATAACAAAGGGCTCAAATGATTTATCCTCTGATTAGTTTTAAAAAGTAACGAGTTAATTGATTTTACACAAAAATCACTACACGTTTTTTGCCACAAGTCACAATCAACAACAAAAATGCACAAACCTGTTGCACGCGCATTGTGTTAATCCAAAAGAAATGTCGCACAAAAAAAAAACACTACATCTAAGATCTGCACGCGTCTATGGTATTTTAAAAAATATCTCAACATCAAACTATGTAATGGGTTTTATAGAATAAGTATACAATGTGTGGTGAAGAAGATGATTTCCCCTCCACGACGAGATTTTTAAGTTTAAGTAAGGTAGGAAGGTTAACTCAGACTTCGGTAAGAAAGTAGGATGAAAGAAAGTAGCCGTACCCAGTTATTATAAGTAACACAAGATACGACGATATATCGATAAATTAAACATTCTAAAACGATTTTTGACTCAATTCGGTGTGTCTAGAAAAAGCAAAGTTCAAAGGGTAAATCCATCTGCCACAATAATCCTAATTACTAAAGTTTTAGCGGCCAATTTCTCTCTATTCCAATACTAAATATACCGATGATCATCACAATGACTTACACAAATTAAAAAAAAAATTGTCAATACATGAGTAACATAATAGTGAAAGTTGCGTCCGGGTCAATTGCATTTTTACAAAAAAAATCAGCATATTACAAAAGCCATACAGGATCTAAATTGAATGATATTAGTTTTCTCCTCTCATTAGTTTTTGATGTAATATCCAAATGATTGTATGGTCTGGTGAGCATATCGCTAAATGCAGACAAAATAAAAACACGACAACAATAATTAAAAATACCATGTTACGTTCAATTATTATCGAATCAGTTTAATTGTTTAATGTCTTCTTTTATTATAAGTGCCTATGTTTTCGCACGCGTTCTGTATGAATTTGTTTCCCGTAATTTTTCTTAAATATACGTACCTACATAATACTTTATTAATTAGGGTAGCACACCCTTAATCAAGCATTAACGCTCGAAGCAAATAACGTAAACTCAATCACGGTATAATTTAATTTTGTTTAATTTCCAATTAAACATTCATATTCGGATTGGAGAATCCACCCAAATTATCCTAATTTATTGGCCGATTTGCAAAAATAATTATACAGAGTGGCGCTTTAAAACAATTGTAATTGTGAGTGGATTATTCTATCTAAAACTTTTCAAAATTTTCTATCGAACTTATTTTTGAAAAGTGATTGTCTAACAAATATTATATGTTGTGCTAATGCACAACATATAATATTTGTTAATAATAATTTATCACATACATACATGTAATAAATGACCTATTTGAAGACGAGATTATCAGGCAATGTTGCCATTACACGAAAATATGATTTTTTAATAATGAAGGTGTTCAATATTCTGAAATTCCTGGTATAACAGTCGTTATTTCAATAAAAAAAAACAATTATTATTAAAGTATCGATATGTATATTTTAAAAGAAATCAAATTTTCCCTCGATGGCAAATTACATAAATCAAAATGGAAAAAAATCGATTATAAAAAACTTATCGAGCATTAAAAAGAAACTCTTTTGAAAATAAATCGCAATAGCAAATATGTTTTACTTTCACCCATTGATTTTAACTGATTTGTAACATAATAACTTTTTATATTTCTCTTGATATACGCAGATATGTAATAGATACTTATTAATGATTTACGACCTTTTCAGAGTTTATGTAAATAAAGTAACAACTGTTATTTATTTGTATTCTTTGTATGCACGTAATGCATTATCTATTTAAATCAATTTCAATTTCTTTATGCGATTTACTGGGCTCTTAAGACTTTCTTCAATAAAATTTATTTATGTTTTAAGTTGTCCCATCATTTTCTATTATTTTATACCGGGTGTTATGGCACGAACTTGCCCATAGAAGTATACAAAAAGACCCTGTAGAAGCCCTCTCATTTCTGTTATGTTTTAGTTAACATATTAGCCAGTCTTTTTGGGCTTGGTTAGTTTGTAAACTCACATGCCATTTGCTTGGTATGCAAACTACTTCGATATAATAGCAAAGTTTTAGTTCTAATGTAAATTGAAGTTTTTATTTATGTGCCTGATTGTTACTTCATCATTTATTCGTACTTTAAAATTTAATTGTCTGCCATTCGTTCCAAAAGGTAACCTATGTGTGCCAAAAATATTATCATATATTAAAATTTTAATGAACTTTTAATTATAAATTATATTAACTAAAATAAAACGTTTCACATATTTAAATTTAATATTGTTATTAACTTTCTGTATAAATATTCAACGAAAGAAGATTTATATAAAAAAAATAAAAAATACATATGTTTTTATATATTTTGTAAGGTGTCTTCAGATACTTCCGAATTATTTGACACGATTTTAGTTGATTCAACTGGCATACATTACTTTCTCCATCTGAGACAAGGTATTTCACTCAAGGGCATATGCTTTCTTTAAGAAGTGTATACGCCCATTCAAATATTTTACAAGGCAAGTCATCGCAGACTGAAATAAGCGCAAAAGAACAAACCAAATTGATATATCAAGTGCATGACTTACTATTTATTTGCTTCTTTCATTAACCTAACACAATCAATAGACGTGTGTTTCACTTTTTAGAGAATTTCGACAATAGAAGAAAGCAATTTTCTATTATTTTGCAATACAAACGTGTTTTTCGGGAACAATAATTATGTTTAACACGATATTGGTGGGAATTTTAAAGATGTTATGTTATGAGAGAGAAAGTAGGACCTTGAGACAAGATCCTGAACTTGGTACTAAATTTAACATTCTTTACAGGTGATATTCTCATTATCGTTGTAATAAAATAGCGAAAATTAACAACGAATTCATTTTGTAAGGATTTCTATCATTTATTTTATTTTAACCTTAATTTAATTTACTAATTTTTAGTCTTAAATTTTAGTTACATTTGCCATTTTAAAATTAGATTATGCTTTCATTTGATACCCATGTCAATTAGGTTTTAATGTAATCTGCCATCTTGGGCCACCGCCATATTGGATTTAGTATGACGTCACTCACCTTTTTTTGTTAAAATTTTTTTTTATTTTTTTCCTCTCCTCCCCACAAAAAATTGACGTTAGTTTTGATATTAAAAATATATTCAAAAATTATTAAAATGCATGTTTCTATATAGAATAACCTTTATATGATTTTCTTAAACTTTGTGACATTCGTAGGTTTCTTAGTTATTTTTAAATCTGATTATTCGTGTAAATTTTTGCTGTTCTTAAGAAAGTAGAACCTTGACACAAGATCTTAATCCAAGATGAAAAATCCCATCTTTTCTTTAATAAAATAATATAAAAATAAACAACAAATTTATTATGGTTTTCCATTTTTTAATATAAAATCCAAAAAATATAACATAACAACATTTAAAAACATTTTTGAGTCACTTACTTCATAACTTGTGAATCATAAGTAATTAAATGCAAATCGTGGGAAATGGTTACACCTAATTACGCTCGAGTTAATACAAAGTAAATCTACTAATATATACCCAATTATTATAACAAGGGAATTTGTGGTTTCCCTGAAAATTATATTGATTATAAGATAAACGGTTGGTTTTCTAAATTGATTAGTTCTCAATTATTTTCTTAAACGATCGCGGCTGATAAATTTAAACTAGTTTATAATAGTTATCTCGAAGCTAAAAAACTAATTAAATATATTGGACTTTTACGATTCCAGTTAATTAAGTTTATAAGTATTACTGCATTTTACATATTGATATATAAATAAGTATTATTTATAAAACAGTTAAAATTAAATTCAATTAGGCATATAAAACGAAAAAACACGTAGGTCGAGCTCAACAAGTAAAGGAAATTATTTACATACATTCCTTTAAATTGTCACCGAAGGTGAAAGTAGTTTTTATTAGCTTTTAAATATTCAAAACATGGAAAAAACGAGAAATTTTTTATTTCATTCTTAATGTATATTTTCTTAAATAAAACATTCAACATCACCCCTTATATGGCAAACACACCCAGAAAGGGTAAAAAATGAATTATTCGCAAAATTCACAATGACTAATATATAGCATTACTAATACACCTTGGGTTTCAAGATATTTTAAATTATGCACCGCAAAAATTGCTATTTTAATAATATTGAGTAAATTAATTAATTTATCATTTATAAAAACCACATGATTATAATAATTATTAATGAAATTAAACCTCATAAGCAGTATAAATTTATACATTGTAAATAAAAGGCAATACATTGAACGTGTAATCTGGGTTGCCTAGCTCATGCATAAACTGAAATTTTATTTTTGTGCGAGAAAATTTAATCCAACTTTTATTATATACTAGGATTTATTTATATTATAATAATATTTGCTGATAAAAGTTTTATCTATGTTTATTGCATTGTGGAATGCGGAAACGATATTTTTATTATCTTTATTACGCTATGTTTATTTCCTTTTTAACTTTTTAATAATTAGGGTTAATTTAAATCGTGTAATATGTTGATTTATACAATTCGTATTTTTTTTTTAATATTTTAACCGAAGATCATTGGTAATGTAGCCATACACATTCTTGAAAAATTACGTTGATATTTTAATAAATTTAGCCACTATACGAACTATTTTTATGCGATTTCAATTAAATTTACTGTCTAGCTTGTTGTGTTGTTAAATTTCATCGCAATCAAACAAAAATTAACAAACTGGCGGTTAGAAAAAGCCATAGAAATAATAAATAATGTATTATTTCTATGGAAAAAGCGTTCGTATCAAAATTGTGGTGGCGCCATCTAGGAGAGTGTCGTTGAAGTTTTTCGATGCAGATAACTGTAATACCGATTGAAATGGTTTCGGGTGCGGTATTTTGGCATGCGCCAGCAAGAAGTCATAACGAATGAAGGTGGGGGAGCATAATTGTTAGAAGCAAAATTGTAACCATCTCGTCGAGGCCCGTTTTTTGCAAAATTAACGGTGTTTAAATACACGGTAAGTGGCCAAAATACGATGTAAATATTGCCCGTGTGTTGAGGGTGGAGTAGCGAAGAGAAACGTATGTAAAAAGTTTGACATAGCCATGACAGTGTTAAATTGGTGCTTTGACGTTAAAAAGTGCTGTGTTTTATCGGGAATTGAACCGAAAGTGTCAAGAAGTGAACTGTTTGCTAACGTATGTGTTTGCTGTTAAATGGTATATCCGCAGCCCTGCTTTTGAACCTTGCTGGTCTAATTGTTTATTTTTTGCGTGTTATTTCTGCATGTTTGAATTAATTTTCAAGTTTCCTTGCGTTTTTGGTCGGGCTGCGGTTTTTCGCTATCCACCGATGTTTTAATTTATTGATAAGCACTACGTTCTTAAAACAGAGACAAACGGTTTTATTTCTATCTATTCGCATTCGAATTTAACGTTAGCGGTGAATCATATGATAAATTTAAACGCAAATTAACAAAAGTGTTGGTCATCTTGCCTGCTCAATTTAACACAATCATTTTCAATTATTTACAGATTACAAAATCAATCATATAAATAAACACTACAATGCGTGAATACAAAATTGTGGTACTTGGGTCTGGTGGTGTTGGCAAATCAGCTTTAACAGTGCAATTCGTTCAGGGGATCTTTGTAGAAAAATATGACCCAACCATCGAAGACAGTTATAGAAAACAAGTCGAAGTCGATGGCCAACAATGTATGTTGGAAATTTTGGATACGGCAGGCACAGTAAGTACATTTGTTCAACAACTTACCATTGCAAATTGTGAATCACCAATTAAAGTGGTGTTCTCTGTTAGCACAGATTTCTCATGTTATTTTTTCTTTCATAAACATAGGAGCAATTTACTGCGATGAGGGATTTGTACATGAAAAATGGACAGGGTTTTGTTTTGGTCTACTCGATAACTGCACAATCAACCTTTAATGATTTACAAGATTTAAGAGAACAAATTTTACGAGTGAAGGTAAGTTTTTTCATTTGATTTGTGTTCATGTGTTCATTACGCTTTATTTATTAATAATCGCGAAACGTGTAAAAATAATCAGCACCGCGGAAACGAACAAAAAAAGGGATTTAGAAATGAGTCATCCAAAGAATTAAATCACTCTAATTGAAAGGAATTTGACATGTACAACCTTTACACTAACACGCATAATTATTCATATTTCTTTCTGTTTAATCAATAATTTAATCTCCCTGAGTTAGATAGCGCGCACTTTTTATCAACCTAATGAGCAATTTCGTTTATATTAATTTATTGCAAAAATTTTGCGACACAATTTGTTTGCCAAAACCACTTAAACAATTCCTGCGGTATTTTCGCTTATTTTATTAAATAATTAATTCACGCGAATTTCAAGGTGATGGCTGTCATTTTTAGAAATTTTCAAGGTCACCATTTCAAAATATCGGAAAACAACATTCTAAGGGGGAACACCACTGTGCAGGGTCAAAAATGCCATTTATTTTATAGTTATAAGTGGCTACTAGGTTTACAGTTTTTATTTGTTGAAATTTTCTTAAAACTACCACTCTGTAGTTTCATCCTTTTTTATACTTCTTCTTCAACTTGGCTTAAAGCCAATATGGTCCTGGACAATATTAAACAAGTATTATCTATCTTTTCAGCTTCTAAACATTTTCGTTTATAAAATTTTCATAAAAGTCTTATATACTGTATGCCCATGAATGGGGTTTCAAAAAGGAAAAAAATACATTTCTCAGAAAATGTTATTCTTATTTTGCTTGTTTTTAAACCATCAGAATATGCGCATCATTTTTATTGTCTATGTTAGTTAATTTGCAGTTTTGATTTTTCTGCATTCTTTATTATTTTTTGTCAGTTTTTGTTTGTTTATTATTATTTTTAACAAATGAATGTTATTATCATGGTAGGTAGAAATCTCCCAAGAATTTACCATTATTTTATTTTTCAATTTATACAATTATAATTGTACAAATTGAAAAATAAAAGCTTTGAACATGAAATGATTTGTATTAAAAAATGTTTATTCCAAAATTTTTAGATAAATCAAAATTGGAAATTAACAATAGAAAATAAAAATGATTTTATCTCCAAGGCTTTTGTGGTTTTCTGAATTACTATGAGACGCGTTTTAAAACCCGAAAACCTTTTTAATTTTTAAATAATGTGGCATATTTTGGGGGTTTCAAATCGAGCAAAACCTTTAAACAGAAATGAATATTTTTAAGAAATGTAAAAAAATCATCTTTGTAATACCCTCCTTGGGCTTCAGAAACCCCATCTATAGCTTTAGTACATTTTCTGGTTCATTTAATTTCATTTGATAATTGTTCCATCTGTTGTAGATATTGTATATTCGATTTTAATCAGCTTTTTGCTAGGAATTTACTTTATATTCCACACTGTCTCATAGAGCGAATTGTACACCTCGAAGAATAAAACCTTTTTTATACTTAATATAATTCGCGACTTTACTTTCTATAAAAAATAATCTCTGATTTTTTAACATTCTGGTAATGTTTAAAAAAACAGTGGTTTCCCCTGTATAAAATCATACACTCTTTTAAAATAATCTTGATTATTGAAAGCATTTTTCCTTCCTGTTTGTTTCGGTAATTAGTGCATGGAACTAGAAGAAATTAAAAATAGAATAGATGCGATAAATTGGAAATATTATAAACATACGGGCCTGTCTGCGCGTCTAAAAATAAATCAATTCACGTTCACTACTTCATTTATTTGAATTCGAGCTTTTGCTTGTTTTTATTTTAATTTTAAGTGTGCTGCCCATTTATGTAATTGCTTTGTTTGAAAGTAAGTAAACATAATTGTTTTGTCTTGGATTTTTTTTTGAAGTTGTGTGTTTTTTAGGACACGGACGATGTGCCGATGGTGTTAGTTGGAAACAAATGTGATTTGGAAGAGGAAAGGGTCGTTGGAAAGGAACAAGGTACCAACTTGGCACGTCAATTTAACTGTGCCTTCATGGAAACCTCAGCCAAAGCGAAAATAAATGTTTATGAGGTAATTTAAGCCCAAACTGGGAAGGGTTTCTGTCTACATAAAGCGATAAACATCAGGGAAGAAAAAAATGTTCCCAATCTTGCTTAGATTTTGTAGAATTTAAATTTGAACTTGACCGGAGACTTTGATTTTGGTCCGGTTTAAGTTTGATTGTGTTTTCCTTTTGTGTTAGTTGTGGTACTAAGGGGCGATGTGTTTGCAGGTATTTTTCGATCTGGTTCGACAAATCAACAAAAAATCTCCGGATAATCCACCGAAAAAAAAGAAGAACCCGAGCTGTGTTCTTCTCTAACTCTGTAATCATTTGAACCAAAAAGTACATATAAAAGATTTGAAGACTATGTAAGACAAAGTGTATAGGCATTAAGGCATGTGCGGACATAGGGCCTTGCAGTGAACATTATTTAAAAAAACGTTCTGTATATCATATTTTTTAATTTTTAAGTAATTGTAATAAACATTAATTGATTTTCGGAAAAAATTAATAGTTATGAAATAATATTCAAGTTTGTTGGTTATCTAGTTGCAATTTTTTAGTGATAGGGTATTCAAAATACTGCCAATTATGGTGTCAAATAGAGATAGAAATTTGTGGATTAGTGGTGTTACAATTTATTTTCGAGTCAAGACTATCTGAAAGGACAATACTTAATGTTTCAGCCACTGTAGTCTTCATTAAATAATATAGCAAATTAATTTTAATTTTCCACCACAGCAAAGTTGCTCAGGAAACATTGATTGGATGGTTGTTGATTTTATTGCTGTTTTTGACTGATCACTGTGATTTTCAGAAATCTTTTTAATATTCCATTGAATCAGTATTTATTGTTTCGTCAGTCTTAAATAGGTGGCCAAATTCAGTAGCTTATTAATAATGGGACCACTAAATTGTTTAAATTAATTTCGTCTTAAAATCATCCAAACAATATTTCCTAATACCAACTGCCAATTATGAATTATAAAATTTTTGATATGGCGCTATTATGAAATTGGTTTTATAAGCTTTTGATATCCGTTAGTGTCGAAGTCAATAGTGCCATTAATTATAATACAGGGTGTTCACACTTCACACTAGTTCTGATTCTGATTACTTTTTTCGCGACACCCTGTATCGACGACATATTTCAAGTTCAGAGTTTAGAGATAAATAGCAGCGGTATTGAAGCAGAAAAATTATTCTATAACTGTTAGATGTATTATTATATTTGAATGGAAGTAGTAGTTTACATACATTTTTGGACAAGTTGTGATAGCGATCCCCTTTGGTGCTTGTCTTAATAAAGTGATTCTCACTATAAAACCACTAATTTGTACTGGGCATGCGTACATTTCACACATTCGTGTCGGTGTGGCTTGAAATATGTATTTTCTCTAACCAACTTTATTTGGTGCTTTCTTTAAATTGTATTCAATTCATAATATTTTCTTTAATTCATTAAAATAATTTTAAAGTTAAGCTGAAGTTTTGTCATACTTTTTCTTTATGTCAATACAATCACTGTTGACTAATTCTTTTTTACTGTAGATAGACAAATATTTAAATTATTGAGTATAAAATGAAAGTAGGGCAAAATATAAGTTATATATTTTTGTGTATTTTGTTATGTTTAAATATCCTAAGTTCTGCTAATAAACGATAAATCAATATGCAAGTTATTTTTAAACCTTGGTGCTAATTCAATTCGAAATACCTGACTTAACTTCGGTTTAACTTTCCATAATTAGATGTATATACAAACTTTATAGTTATATGATTTTAGGATTAATTTTAGTTTGTATAAATATAAAAAGGCGTACTGCTTCCGGGTTTTCTCTTATACTATATATATATTTTCTTGAATATAATAATTTATAAAGGGTTGCAGTACAATTGTATGCGTGAAACATCACCATTATTTTTTTAAGTCATACAAGATACAAACGAAAAGCATAGGTTACACAGGGTCTCAGTGCCAATTCAAATATTTTCAGTAATACATGTATCATTAGGCATAGCACATATAACTGAAAATATTTGAATTGGCATTTAGACCCTTTGTAATGTATGGCTTTTAAAATGTGAGTATGCTACATACATATAATGTAAAACGTCTCTCCACAGACACAAACAACCAATGCAATGTAAAATATACTTACACTAAGGACTTAAGAAAAAGTTGCGCGCCATTATCAGAGATCCAGCAAATCTCTTGTAAATAATGTAAATTGAAATTTTAATAAAATGTTTTGTATTATTTAACTTTTTCTTATAGCTTACGTAACATAGTGTAAGTATATTTGATAATTTTCAACAATCAATCATTTCTTTAATTGTCTCGCCGAAGAAAACAACAAATTTATTTCCCTTGAAATTGTGATAAATTTAATAACAATAACGATTTGTGATTGTGGAGGGTTTTAAGCTCTTATTTCGCACTTGCCTTGCACAAAAAATAAATAATAATAATAATAAAAAAGCGGTACCAAAAAAGCATGTATGCAATTTTAAGCCGCTTGCCAATATTTGAAAAGTTATGTTAAATATAGTTAATATATACATATTATATATTTTGTAACTCACTGAACTTTTTTAGATTTCAATCACAAATTAATGTCAGTTGACAATTTCTTCCCATTAAGCAATTAATTAAAAAAAAAACGTTGTATAAATCTTGTTGTTTTTTAAAATAAATGTATGTTAATGTATTCTAATATCCACGCTAAATATAATTAACATTCAGTATTTACCCGAGTTTTTTTTAATACTTATTAATGTGCTGAGCTCAAATTAAGCCAAACACAAAAAAATTCACGAAACGTGCAATTATAGTAATACTTATTATAAAAGTAGAATGTGAGGTTTGGAAGGACTGATAGTTATGAATTTTTTGATTGGTTCAAACTTATCTACTTCTAAAGTACGAGAATTGAATTAAACGAATATTCGCTGTGTCAATTCTCATTGTCATTGGATAAATGGTTCACACCAATAATAAAGTGTAAAAAAGGTGTTATTATTGGTCGCAAACTACAAAATAACGGGTATTAAAATCCCTTATGTTCGTTAGCCTCATATACCTAGATAAAATTATCTAGGCTCATATACTGTGTGGTAAGTGAACTTAAGTATATTGTTAGCGTCATATACTTACCAGTAAGGTAAGTATATGGTTAGCGTGGTAAGTAGCGCCACGTAGCGTCCGGTAGAATAAATAAATAAAACTAACCAAACACGTCTGTAGTTGAATCGAACGTTTCTACCTTTCGTTGGTAGGTGGCGCTGGGCAACAAAATGGGTTTATTACTGCAGCAATGCTGATATTATAAAAAATATATAACAATACTGCATTGAACTATATGAGTTAAATAACTACTCCAGTAAAATAAGCCTGAAACGCAAATATGCTTTTATGCCATAACATGAAATTGTTTCAGTTTATGGGTTTAAGTTTTTTTTTTATTTTGCCTTTGGGTTTTTAAAATACCTAAATGTTTTTATTTCTTATCCATTTTCTAGTTGGTAGTGTACAAATTTAATATAACTTTTAAATAAATAAAATACGGGCGTGGTCTTATTAATAATTTAATTTTAATTTATACAATATATAGTCGGCATTAATTGAACGTAAAAACTGTTACGTGCTATTTAGTGACCTAATTAATGTACTATATAGGTGTGGTAATAATTTAAAACGCAAAGCTAAATATTTTTGTCGCAGCTACGAGAAAATATTTATATTTAAAGCTAAGAATCCCAGTTTAAATTTACTTTACTAATTAATTCTTGTCAAAAGATAGTAGATAACGGCAATTAACTGAGCCTATTAAATAATTTTAATTAAAAAACAAGTTGCGCATTATACACCAATTAATTATATCTACATATTATTATGCTAAAAAACACGAACTCGAATGTTGGAAGAAAGAGAACTTTTAAAATTTAATTTTCCTTAAACACATTTAATTTTACGACTATGATGTTCTCTGGACTTTTTTTATTATTCTATAATCGATGTTGCCGTTTAAAATTTTCTTCATATTACAACCCCTTTACTGCAGGTTTTATGCAAATAAACGGTTTTAATTCAAAATTTGTGTGCAATGAAAACAAAGAGAAGGAAAAATAATTCAAAAGGGTGCATGTTTAGGAGCCGACTTAAACTTTTTAATAGTCGCTGTTCAGAAAAGAATTCCAACAAAGATATTCTAAAGTATACGTTGTCAAAACTTTAATTTTAACTTTGAATATTATCATTACCATCCCTATACCCAATGTTTTATACTTGGGTCTATACTAAATTAAATACACTAATTTTCCAACTCTTTTGGATCACTTTTCACGAATTTAATAAAATTTTATTTAACAAAATGGTTTGCGAAATTATTTTTTTTTAATTTGGCACATAAAAAACTAAGAACACTCTTTAATGCGCTAAAAAATATAAAGTAATTACTTATAAATATAAAGTAATTAATTTACTCAATATATTATTAAATATTAATAAACCTTCTTCTTAATGTTATTACATTACTATTTCATACTTTTAAGTCTAAAAATTTAGTTTGTTTTGTTATTGGCGGTATAGCGTTTAATTTGATACCCATCTTGTGAAAAAATAGGTCATTCGTCATCTTGGGGCGGCCGCCATATTGGATTTAGTATGACGTCACTCACGTTATGTTTTCTACTCGTAAAACTCATACCAAGGGAGCGGAGGCCATTTTATATGAATTACAAAATTAAGAATACTAGATTCTATTGTCAACAGCACCAAAAGTGTGTTCAAAATTTTAATTGGTTACGTTGCGACTAGATTTGTGGACATAGTTGGTTTGTTACAAGTGAAGCAATTATATAAAACGTGAAAAATCGGCGGGTTTTTTATTGAATATAAAAAAATAGTTGCGATTGAAAATATCTTATAGGTTCCACGTATTATATACTCTAAGGTGGGTGCATACAATCCCTGCATTGATGTAACCTTAAAGCATATTATGTATGGATACGCTATAAATTGTTTCATAAGGACCTTTTAAATTTTTTAAATCCTTGTGTGTTTTAGTAACTTTTAAAATTTTGGTAAAATAGGGTTTAATTTGACGTATTACATTTAAAAAACAATTTGTAAACAAAAAAGTTATTTAAGGTTTAATATTTTTTTACATACTGAAGAAATGCATGAAAGTCGCTTTCTGACATGTTCACATATATATTTCCAAACTTTAATATTTAAAAAAATTATTTTCAGGATTGTCCCGATTTCGCTGTGGTCGCCATCCTGGAAAAACGAACCAACGTAAACCAAAAGTCAAAGGTAATATAAACTTTTATTCAGTTGAGTCAACTCAAATAGTAAAATTCACCAAATATCTTATTGCATTTATAGTTATGTTTTGAAGTAGTTATACTTCAAAACGTAAAGAAGTGAGCAGTGATGAGGGGTTTATATAAGAAATTATAAAGTCTGGACCTAAAAAAGATATCAGCACTTTCCTAAAACCGTTTCTAGGATATGTGGGGGAATCTGTATGACCACAAAAATAACCTTCACCAAGCAATTAGTTAATACATGTTATTTTTTTATTATTTATACGATTAACGTATTTAAAAGATAATCTGTTACAAAATTGCAAGATTTGCGATTTCCGATATATTTTTAATAACGGGTAAAGGAAACGTACATATGCTCCAAATGCTATAAAAAGTGCGAATATAAATCAAAAGCAGAGTAAAATTTCGCTCTTACCTTTGTTATGTCACAGCTTACTTTGCCATGCAAATAAGAATTTAAGAGCTGCATGTAAAATTCGAAAAAGCACATTAATGTTTTTTAATACAAACTGAAATCTTGTCCGATGGTAAATTATTAATAAATTAAAGCTTTAATTGTTAATAATAAGTTTTAAATACCATAGATCAATGTTTGCTAATTTAATATATAAATATAAGTTATTTCCCTTATTTGTTGTTCTTGTATTTAGATAGTTTTCTGGATTTGGTCAAAAAAATATCAACAAAGAGTGGGTTTAATTGTTTGATTTAGCAGTGTTGTTTGAATGCGGTATTTTTGTATTAGCGTGTGCAAGTGTGTGTGTGTGTGCGTGTGTGAATGGAGCGTAGCAGAATGTTAAGGCCCCACATACACATGTGACATGTCCGACAAATCAATAGCAAGCACTTAGGCACAAGGATCTTTGGTCTCTGGACATCGTACCATTTTCTCCCCTGTCTCAGTGCTTTTGTTTTATATCCAATATTTCACCGGAAGACTTCAGTAAGTGGAAAGTGAAAACGCTCGTTTGTGGACAAGAAAATATCCCCCACCCCCGTTCCCTTAGCCCTGAAAAAATGTTATAGATAGACCTTTCTATTTTTACCGGTTAGCCCTTGACAACACATCAAATATTTATTTCTGTCATTTGCTTTTTTTATTACGCTTCTTACACACGAATTTAACACTCATTAATCTTCTTTATCTAATCAAGTTATCCAATTATCAACACTCTAACTACTCCTACTCCATTAAAACATACACAACTTTTCCCTCCTCTTTCCACTTGTTTTTTTTCTCCATTATCCTACAAAAATCTTTATACTCGAAATTTTATAATTTTACTTGCGCTTGACGTACTGATATATTTTCTATTAACCCATATACCTTACACTGACAACTTAAAATTAAATCCCCACCTTAAGCTATATTGGACCATACGTAATACACTTGTGAGTTATAGTAAATATGATCTTGAGGAAAAACAGGTCGATTTAGATATCGAGGGGGACGAACAAATCCAGTACAAATTTTATGTTGCACCCTCTTACCTCCAACTACCCTTACTAAAAAATTTCTGATCTATTGAAGTAAATAAAATCCGTAAATAAAACTTAATTTGGTTCTTTCTGCAAAATTATACACCATTTTTCTAATATTTAGGTTTTTAATACACCTTGATGCCCAGAGCTCCCGGATTAAATATAAACAGACATGTAGCTACTTAACTTATTCAGTATTCACCTGAAGGCGACTGGAGATAATAACTACAACCTTCGAACAAACAAATAAAAAGTTTCTGTAATCACCTGTATCCTATGAATACAGTTAATTTGGAGGGTGCACTCGTAAAAATTCACAAAGATTAAAAAAACAATTGAATCTGATTTAAATTTAAATGCGAATTCATTTTCCTTGTGGGAAAAATACGCGGCAGCTGCCCTGTAATATCAAAAGTTTCAATTTAGACGTTTTCCCCATGAATGTCCCGAATCGTTTAAGATGAAATGTCTGGTCTCTGTAGGGTGAAAATTGCTCACAACATCACGCCGACGATATTATAACACTACGAAAAATATATACCAAATTACAGAATATTGCTTCAACAAAAAATGTATCGATACATTTTCCGTTAAAACTTCCCGTCAACGGTTAACAGTTTGATTGTATTATTTTACTATAGTTTTTATTTATATTCTGAAATTTATCGATATAGAAGCGGTTTTTCACAGTAAAAGAGAAGAGAATGTTTTATGGGCACTGTACGCAACATTTTTAACGCTTCATCAGTTAAATCCAGTTAACTGCACTACTACGGCAAAATCAAAAGGTCATATAATCTGTTGAAATATTGGCGTCAATAATATTTTTGTATTGATATTGTAGCGAGTACCGCTATGGATCTCGGAATGATGACTCATCGCCGATGAGCTCGCTGAAATATTCGGGAAGGCACGTAGGCACTAAATATAT